CACGGTTTTGGCCCCATTTTGGCGTCCTGAGGGGGCCGCGCTCATCTTCCCTCATAGCAAAATCATTGATTTTACGAAGGTTTTCGGCTCATTTTGTCCTTCTCAGGGGGCAGCTCTCATTTGCGCTTCGGAGGAGGTCGCAAGAGGCCCCAAGATGGCCCCAAGAGGCCCCCAGGAGGCCCCCAAGAGGCCTCCAAGAGGCCCCCAAGAGGCCCCCAAGCGGCCCCAAGAGGCCCCCAAGAGGCCCCCAAGAGGCCCCCAAGAGGCCCCAAGAGGCCCCAAGAGGCCCCCAAGAGGCCCCCAAGAGGCCCCCAAGAGGCCCCCAAGAGGCCCCACGAGGCTCCACGAGGCCCCCAAGAGGCCCCACGAGGAGCCCGAACGACTCACACCAGGACGAGGCGCCCGAACGACTCACACCACGAGGAGCCCGAACGACTCACACCAGGACGAGGGCCCCGAACGACTCACACCACGAGGAGCCCGAACGACTCACACCAGGAGGAGGAGCCCGAACGACTCACACCAGGACGAAGGGCCCGAACAACTCACATCACGAGCAGACCGAACGACTCACGCCAGGACGAAGAGCCCGAACGGCTCAAACCACGACGAAGAGCCCGAACGACTCACACCAGGAAGAAGGGCCCGAACGACTCACACCAAGACGAGAGACCCGGAGATATGCGGGGGCAGGCGGAAACACGCCTGAAAAACACGACTGTCGGTATGCTTCGCAAGAGTTGCTGTTTTGAGATGGGCTGGTGGGGATACGCGAAGCGTAAAGAATTGTCGGCTTGACCTTCCTGCCATTTCCGCCTGCATACCAAACTCCAAGGACCAAGGTGCATGGCGCGAAGCGCCACTGCAGTCTTGTGTATATATATGTATATGTATATGTATATGTATATGTATATGTATAGGTATATGTATATGCTTATGTATATGTATATGTATATGTATATGTATATGTATATGTATATGTATATGTGTATGTATATGTATATGTATATGTATGTATGTATGCATGCATGCATGTATGTATGTATGTATGCATGCATGTATGTATGTATGTATGTATGTATGTATGTATGTATGTGTATATATATATTATAACAATGCGGGCGGAAACGCGGAAGGGGTCCCCCCCAACAAAAACCGGACTCTCGGGATCCGAGGCTTTGGGGCCCTCTGGACGGGCCTCGAAGCGGCCCCCCGGGCCTCGCAGGGCGTTTTGCGAAGCCTTTCCAGCACACCTAAGGCGACCAGAGGGGGTCCTCGGAGACTTCCCAAAGACCCCCAAGACAGCACAAGAGCGCTCCAAGAGTGACCGACGTGACCTCCAGATGGCCCAAGAGGCCTCCAGGACAGTCCCAAAGAGGCCTCCAAGAGCACTCCCAAGAAGGCCCCAAGAGGCACAAATCATTGATTTTCTGTTGGTTTTTGTGGTGAATTTGGGTGTTCTCCTCTTTTCGGCTTCCCGACGCTCCATGTCGGCGGTCTTCTGGGCGTCCGAAGCCGCCTGGGAAGCTCCCAAATCGCCCCACAATCATCCGAAAGGGCTTCCGGGCAGTCGAAGAAAGCCCCACAACGGCACAACACGGGTCCGAGATGGCCCTCAGAGAGCCCCATGGCGGCCCAAGATGGCCCCAAGACACCCTCCGAAGCGCTCCACATCGTGACCCCGTCGTTCAAGGAGACCGCGGTTGGAGGCAGGGTGGCCCGAGGAAACCCCCAGAGGCCCCCAGAATACACCCGGGAGGCCTCCAGAAGGCCCTAAGAAAGCCTGCAACAACTTTAGTGAGGCCCTCAGAGGCTCTCCAAGGAGGAGCCTCCGCAAAAAAACGCTGCGGAGGATGGGGAGAATGCGCAAGGTATGGCGAAAATGAAGAAAAATAGGCATGGAGGAAAACGAATAACAGTATTGCAGCGGCGATGCCCAAAAAGGCAAAAATAATTATCGCTAAATTGTCGGCTTGACCTTCCTGCTATTCCGCCTGCACACCAAACTTCAATGACCAAGGTGCATAGCGCGAAGCGCCAATGCAGTCTTATAGATATATATATATATATATATATATATATATATATACATATATCTATATCTATATCTATACACACATACACACATATATATATATGCATTTACGCACATAGTTATCTACACACATATGTATATGTCTTTCTGTACATATATACATACATATATGTATATTATAGATGTACATGTATGTGCGTGTGCATGTGTCTTCTTGTCTTTCTCGCCCGCTCTCTGGGTCAATGCAACATCCTTTGCACTGCGTGTGCGATTTGCAAAATTCAGATCGCATGCGATCGAACCCGTTCCCTGCTGGCCGCGGGCCAGCGAATCTAGCGCGCCAGCGGCTTTTTCGACGTTCAACGGCCCAACGCCGCTTTGCAATGAGCGCGCGGCGCAGCCCTTCCGCGCGATTCTATCGCGCGAAGGCCCGAGCGGCGCCTTGCGGCCGTCCGAGCGATTTTATCGCGCGAGAACCTCGGCGGCGCCTTGCGGCCGCGATGGGGGGCCTCCAAAACACCTGGCGACGTGCCGAGTAGCGCCCGCCGCGGCGCGCGCGCCGGCGCAGCGCGGACCTGCAGTGCAGAGTGATTGTGTGACATGCGCAGCGCGTATGTCAATTGTCTATGAGCAGCGGCCGCGATTGCCCGCGCGTCGTAAGGAAACGGACCAAGACGACGCGCGCGGGCCATTTCTGCTGCTGCCCGCAGCCTCGCCGTCGTCGCCGGCGTCGTCTTCCCCGTGGGCGCCAGCGGCCCAGGTCGGCAATGAGAAGCGCATGTCTGTGGACATGAAATATGCAATGGTTATTGCATCCCCGCTTTCTTGCCCTCGCAGCTTCGGCCGCGAGCTAACCGCGCTTTGCGCTCCTGCCGCGGCGCCGTAAACGCGAATCCATTCAGCGAAATCACCCCGCAAACTCACCGCCCCGCGTGGAGGTGGATTACAAAAGCGGCGATCTCCGCAGTGGCCTTCGCCCCGACGGGCGCGCGCGGCGCCGGGTCGTCCTGCGCGCGCGCGTCGCTGCCTTCTTTCGCGCCGCCGTCGCGCGCTCCAGCGCGCGACGACATGCGCTGGTCAGTGCCGCTTTCAGGCTGGGCCCGCCAAGTCTTCGATGCGCGTGTTAGCGGGCTGCACCGGCGCCTCCGACTTCTACTGGTCGGGGCGCTCTACCGCCGCCGTGAGCTCGATGCCGGGCCGCTCCGCTCCTTGCGCGGGGCCCTCTGTCAGGGGGCCCAGCAGCTCGGCCCCCGCGGCGGAGGGCGCCGACTCAATTCGGCGAACTCCCCCGGGCGAAGCGCTGGCTTTCCAACGGCCCGCTTGCGCGGCGACTGGGGCGCCCGCCGCGGGCAGCGGGCGCGCGCGATGCGCGCGCGAGAAGCCGCGCCGCCAGATTACGGCGGTTGCCCGCGGCCCTGATAATGGAGCTCTCTTGGGGTAGTAAGGCGACCCGCCGGTCGGGGCCTCGACGGTCGCGGACATAGACGGATGCCTGGGTTCGGTCGCCGCGGGCGCGGGCGCAGACGTCGTGGCCGCCGCGGGGCTGCCCAGAGGTCTGCTATGGGGCCAAAGGGGGCCCGAGCGAGCTCCTGTTGCAGACCAGAGAGAAACCGCGGGTTTGCGCTGCGGGCGCGCGCTGAATCTCTGGGGCTACGCAAGACCGACCCCAGAATCTGCCGTAGAGCTCGAATCGTAATTGCGGTGAAAACTTCCCGACTGCGGCAACGCGCGCGCCGCGACGCGGTGGGCCGGCGGCCGCGACGGGCCGCGATGGGGCCGTTGCAGGCCTGCAGGGAGTGGTCATTATGGACCATGAACGCTGGCCACAAAGGGCCGTATTTGTCGCCCCAATGGGCGTGCGGTCCACGTGGGCAAGACGCCGGGGTGTCACTGTGAATGTCACCAGGTCACAATGGACCAATGTGCACGGCGGGCGCATCTGGCCGCGACGGGGCCCGCGCGGGCCGCGAGCGAATGGTCGCGATGGACCCCCGCACGCGAGCCACTGAAGGCTATTTGTGCCGTCGCATATGGGACGGGGTCTCCATGGCCATGCGGCGACGCGCCCGCGATGGCGCATGGTCGCTAGACTACGGACCAAAAGGCGAGGCCCCACTGGGCCGGTAAGTAAACCAGGCCCGGTTGGGCCAGACGAGGCGCCCAAAGACGGGGCCCCAATGGAATGGAAAAACCATGCTGCGACTGCGGTCGCGCCCGAAGTGATCAAGCGAACGGGCGCGCCGCGCGTCGCTTCAGAGGTGGGCCGACGCTGTGCTATGCCATGGCAAGCAGAGGGCAGGTCTCTCGGCGGCCGCCCTACCTCTGAATGCGCAATAGGCTAGCAATGCGCCGCAGGCATGACCAGGTGCGTTGTATCCCGCCCCGCAGCCAGGCGGCCAAAAATGAAGCGTGTCGACCGTGCTCGGCGATGGGGCGAGCCAGATGCGACGCCGACTCGCGGCGGCGCGCGGAGGGTGGTCATGCAGCCGCCCGCCGTCGCGCGTTGCGCCGACGGCTGGGCGCTCGCCCCGCGTCGATTCACTCGTGACTTGCACTCGCAAGTTTTTCCTTGCCCCCCTTCCCGCGCGGCCTGCGTGCGGCTCAGGCGCAGCGCGTGTGCTTCAACTGTTATAAATGGAGCCTCGGTCGGGTCGATAAGAGACGCGGAATGTCCGCGCGGCCCGTGTTTGGCTCAATGGCCCACATTAGGGTCTCTTCGGAAAACTGCAACTGTGAATTCGGCGACGGCGCATGCAACCAAGTCAGATCCCTCCGTCGCGCCTTATGCGCGACCGCGGCGGCAAATCAAGGCTTTCAATTCCCAGGGCACCTCTCCGCGGGGCCCCCTTGGTCCACCGCGTGGTGAAGTCCCAAGCGCCGCTCGCGCGCGCGCGTGCGTGCGGGGTGGCTTCGGTTGGCACGGTTCCGACCCGCAGCTGGACCTCTTCTATGCGAGGCACAGCTCCTTCTTGTGCCCGTCGCGCAGGATGTGGCCGTCTGTCTGGCGCTCGGATGCTGCGAACGCCTTGGGCGCCTGGGTCTTGGCCTTCGTGGCTGGCCGGTCAACGCGCGGCCTGTGGGCCAGCCGCCCGCCCCGCGGAGGCGGCGCCGTCGGTGGCCAGAGCTCGGCGCGGGAGGGCGGGGTTGTCTAACGCGGCTTGTCGACGTTCTCCGACCGCCAGCGGGAGCGCTTGCAATCCGCGCCGTAGGCGGCCTCGCGGATGACTGCTTCCCAAAGCCGCTCTGGCTTGAACGGCTCGGAATAGGTGCCCAACTCTACCTTGACTCCGATGTCCAGCGGATCCTTTCCGACTGCTCTGTGCTCTGCCCTCGCGTTGCCGTCCCCCCGGCCGCGACCCCCCAAGGCTGAAGGACCGTATGTGCAAGGAAGCGCATGCCCTCTCCGTAACGGTTCGAATTGCCGGGCTGGCATGCTTCGAACATGAACATCCATGTGCGGCACACGCGCCAACACACTCTCTTCACGTTTCAAAAGACGGCGGGCCAAACAACGAACGAATGACCAACTCCCCGTTCACGAAAATCACCGCCGTGAACTTGTATGTTTTGCATGTTTTCTTTAACTGGTGGCCGAACAAACCGGAGAAGGCGAAGTCCGTATACCGAACGCGATCCTCTGCCACTCGCGGTGCCAACGCCGATATCTGCTCAAGCAACACGTCCTCAATTTCCGCGGCGAGCCGCCGCTCACGCCGTGAACTCCCTCACGATCTTGCGGAACCCACACTGAACTACTTGAAGACGGTATTTCACTTCAATCTCTTGTCCGGGTCTGCTGGTATTTGTGCTGCCGCCTGCTGTGTTGGAGCCGACTCGACCTTGAGCCAGCCCAAGTCAGGCGCCGCCACCTTGCCGACTTCACAAATACGCAACAGCAGGCGTGTCACAGCCCCCTTGACGATTGTGCTCGCTACCGCCCCATCCACGTTCATGGAGTCCAGCACCGTGCGAAAAACATCGGCGGCACGCACATTCAGCACCGCGTCAACTGTGAGGCTGTCGTACTCCGCGCCTAACTCCTCCGAGATGGGACGGGCAACGCTCTCCAGGATGGCGTGTCTGCGCCACCGCCCGCACAATCCAAGATGGACGGAACATGGCGGCTCAGAGACCTGTCAGGTCACCCTTTGTGTACGTGATCGGGCATCCGACAATTCAAACTTGCAACTTCGTCTGACCTTGACGTGGCAATTGCAATGCGAAGTAATGGAGAAAATGGCGAGCTTAGAAAAAGAGGGAATGAGGAAGATGCAGAGGCGAGAAATTCATCAATATGGGAGGACTGTTAGGGAGGTACACGGGCAGAGTGGGTCAGGGACCTCTGGGCCACTCTATGCTCCACGGCGTGGGATTAAATAACCTAATGCCCCCTTACTGCCACGAGCCGCTTGGATAAGAGCGACACCGGCCCTCCACAGACGCGGCCATGGGATGAGACCACGGTGTCCCCCCGCTAACGCACTGACAAATGTTACCTGGAACATTTCGTGTTCAAACCAAGCTTGTTTCGTGAGCGTTTCGTGATTACCCCAGCATTATCCTGCATTGTCTTGTTGTTGTCCCGCGGTTGTCTCCTGGTCAGGGCTGCTTTGCGCATGCGAGTCTGGTTATCTGTAGTCTGTTCATATGTGGGCCGCGGTACGGGACTTGTTGCAAACTTGATCTGGAGCTGCTTCGGACTGTTCTCGAAATACATGCTAATACTCGTGGGGTGAAATGTTTATGTGGCACTCGAAATCACGGAGTCGGGCTCTTGTTGCCCAATCGATTCTTGCACGACGTCCGATGTTTACATCTCCTTTTGCAACGTGCTCCCAAGATGCCGATCATATGAAAACCGCGACTCTGGGACCACGCGCCCATGACCCTTTGCCGATTCTAATTTGTCGATTTGGCGTTTTCAGGATTTGGAGCCACGCGCAATTTGAGGGCGACTTCATTCCGTACCCGCCAAACACTATCACCAACTAGTGTTCCGATGGTAACTCTGCGTGGTCTGTTTCCAACAACACATCGGGTTTCCGTGAAACGCCATCGGATCAGTCTATATGCGTTCCGGCAAATAAGTGTATTGGACGACATCTTTCTGACCCCTCCTCTGTAGGCCCGCATCATGCACTATCATTATCATGATTCAATTGATCAAGTCGCGATGCACAGCAAAAATATGAAAGCTGAACGGGGCCAATGTATTTGCCAATGCAACGAAGTCATAATTCCATCAACGGTGCCCCCTTCCCAAAGGCATGTTGACCAAATATTCCAAGACCAACGACGTATATTTCGGCAATGCAATGTGACAGGGTGATCAAACGTTGAGCAATATGATCAAGACGCGCATGAAGTATGATATCAGTCAGGATGCAAACCGGTACGTGAGAGAATATCGTATACTGTTTTGATGCATTGGGACGGCTGCTGGAATCTGACCCAGCAGTATGACGCCCTGCGTGTGACGTAATCTCTCTAGGGCCGGCGAAGCAGCACATGCGTGCGCACAGAAAATGCAAAACCATGCAACTGCCAATCTCCCAGGGGGTCTTCAAGCACACGTGCATTGCAATCGTGGTCGAAAACGCGCCACCAATGTTCAAGATCACTTCCGTCGTGTTGACGACTGCAAAATACGGTAAGGCGCGTGCAAGATACCGTAAGACATGAATCACATCCACAACTACTGTCGGTCAGCCCGATGCTTCGATCATGCGCGATTCCGGTGGCAGCAAGGGAACGGAACAATGCCAAAGGAACGGTGATGCCTTGGTGCCAACGTTACTTGGCTTGGGCTCGCCCTGCCTTGTAAATGGCCCGTTGAAAATTGCCGCCGGATGCCGATAACATGTTTCGTTTCGTCTGAGTACCAGACCAACTTCCAAAAACATCGATGCTGATCTATGCGTGAGAAATTGTGATGGACCAACCCTCGGACGCCGTGATGTTTTACGACGTGGACTCCCGCTCTGGACCTGATCCCCCAAACCGCTTTTCCTCGCGAGGTTAGTTTGATGGCCCACATGGTGGGAAACGGGTCCCTGGAGCTCAGGGCTCGCTGGCCTCTATAGGCCCCTCCGTCTCGGGCAGTGTGCCCGACCTCATCGCCCACCCCGAGGACGTGGCCGAGATGCGGTAGAGCGCGTGCCCCAGACCCCAAAGGTCATGATTTTTTCATTGCGTCGATTCTTCGAAGTCTCGACCCATGCCCTGGGACCAGGTTTTCATCCTGAGTCGTGTGTGGACGGTCCTGCGGCCTGGTAAGGGCCCCCAAGGGCCGAAAATGATGAAAAACCTCCCGTCGTGACTTTTCATTGTCTGGGGCAGGGGCCCTCGCAGCGGCGTCTCTAGCCGCTGTGCCGCGGCGACGTCGGTGTGCGGCGGCGTCGGTGTGCAGTGGCGTCATCGGCAGCGGCTGCGCAGGCGGCGGCGGCGGCGGCGGCCCGCTGGGCGGGCAGGTCCTGCAGAAAGCCGCCTCCCGCGCCAGCACGGCCGCCAGCCGCTGCACCAGCTCCTGCACCCGCGCCCCGCCCCACTCTGGTCACACCCTGTGCGCTGGCCCTGCGGGCTGGAGCGGGACCAGGAGGAGGAGGAGGAGGAGGAGGAGGAGGAGGAGGAGGAGGAGGAGGAGGAGGAGGAGGAGGAGGATGGTGGATTGAGGACTGGTGGATTGAAAACTTCCTGGCGTTGCGACTTCTTCACAGCGGGCGTCTTCGCTCTGTTTTGGGCCCCAGAGCCCTCACAAATGATCCGGCTCGAAAGATGACGCAGAAAGATGGGGTCCGGGGCTCGGTCGTGATTTCTTGCGATGGTGGACAGAGGACTCGTGGATTGAGAACTTCCGGGGGAACTGGACGCACACATGGTCGGATTCACACATGGAGCAGCTGGAGACCACGCGGTGGATACACATGTGGGGGGCTGGCGTTCCCGGCCAGAGGGGCCGAGCGCTGGAGAGACATGCGGCCACATTCCTATCTGGCGCTCTCGCCGAGGCCGGCCGCGCCATGTGTGACCAGCTTCCAGGTAGGAGGTAGGAGGAGGGAGTGCAGGGCGGAGGAGGAAGAGGAGGAGAAAGAGGGGAAGGACTGGGGAGAAGGAGGCGTGCGGCCAGAACGATCACATCCAAGCAACTGTGGGGCCCGATCAAAGACTGTCTGCACGTTCCCAACCCTGGCTCTCCGTTTGGATGGCCTCTTGGCTGTTGGCATGTGCGATACTGGGTACCGCCTAAGATGCCGTGCTCGAGTTGATCGGGAGGGGGCAAGGGGATCCGGTCTGGGGAGATGGAGAAAAGAATAAGTAGCAACGAGGTCATCTTGTTTGTATGTTGTTAGTTTGCGGGGACAGCCGTGAATTTGCGCTGCAAGCTTGGGAGAGATGGAGGGAGGGAGGGAAGGGAGGTGGGAGAGGAAGGAGGGAGGGAGGGAGGGACGTGGGCTGCAAGTGACTCGTAAGGGAATTATTGGAATGACACAACATCGGAATGAGAGGACTCTGCACACCGGAAATTGCACATGTGTTTCGGCTCGGGCTCAGTGATTTTCACTACGATGCCATTATTTTACACCCTCTCATTGACGTATTTTTTCAATTAGGCAGGAGGAAGTGTGGGACAGCATCATTTTGGCAACCATAAGCTACTGCGTGCCTACCCCGCGTATATCCGCCACCGTTCCCTTGAGGCCCGAATTGGAATGTCCTCAGGTACCTTGTTGGATCCCCTGGAGCCTCAGTCGTGAATCATATGAGGGGCCTGTACCCAGAATCCCACCAACCATTCAGGGCGTATGTGGTCTAGGGAGCTTCTTCTTCCAACCCCCTTCTTCCGCTTCGGGGAGGGGTTCACCCCTCCCCCTACCCTGTCCCCTGGACCTGGACGGGAGCGCACATGTCGATTGTCTATTCACGACCGGCTTGTGATTTTTGGTCCAGGTGGGACTCCGCCACTGGAAACGCGACAGATCACTGAATGGTGCCTCAGGGTGTGGCGCGGAAAACCCTGGGGAGCGAACTCCAAGACGGAAAATAACACAATCCGATCTAACGTTTTTTGCATTCCGTACATCATCCCTTCGCAACTCGGACAATGACGTCCGCAAGAAATCTGAGTCATCCTAGTTCCAACGGGATTCTCTCACCTGGCCTTGGTGGATGGGCTCGAGGCATCAAGAGAAGGGCAATCCACGTCGCAAGAAAACAAACACATCCCCTACGCGCCCGCTGGATCCTCCTTCTCGAGGCAATCCGCCCAAGACATGCCTGCGGGCTTCGCGGAAGACAGACAAGAAGTGGGAGGATGACGTACGATGCAGCAAGGGACGCGTACCTCCTGAAACACTTGCAGTGGCTAGCACATGTCGCAACCAATGCTCGAACTTGTCAATTATAGTCACGATGTGCGTGTGTGTGTGTGTGTGTGTGTGTGTGTGTGCGATTTACCCCGCCGCGCCGCTGCGCGCGTGGACACGACTCCACCAAGTGTGTGCGTATGCGCGTGTGTGTGCGCCCATCCACCAGCGCAGTCACTCTGCCTAACCGCCGACGCAAAAGTGTGTGCGCGCTGCGTCCTGTAGGTTGTGTCCATCGCATCTCGCAGCACTTCTTCGCCCTGTCCCCGCATCACACCGGACTTCATCGCATCAAGAGCACACCAGACCACAGACTGCCCTGCGCAGCACTAGAAGTACACGCCATGTTGCAACACTCCATTCGTCTCAGTCCTGCATCTTCGCACCTTTCACTGCATCCTGGTACACCACACCAGACTGCGCTCCATCGAATTCAATCACACCCTCTTTGGAGCATCGCCACTACAACCCGAAGTGTAAGAGCACCCACCCCTCACATGAACACGGAGGCGACTGCAGACGCTCGCTTAATACTAGCAATGGTGCAAATCTTGTTCTTTCCCTTACCATCATTCGGCAGAAACTGTTACCACCAACGAGCGATTTCTGTCCCGCCTGACTTGGATAGTGCGGATGCGGGCCGCATGAAACCCTAGCAGGAAACCCAACCCTGAAACTCAGCGCGCGAAGTTCAACCAGGGGAAAGATCTCAGAACATCCTCAACGCGGTGATTCCACAACGCCCGCGGGAATCCACCGCGCAGCGCGAAGAGCAAAGACACCCGAAACAACCTGAGGAGAGGCATCTGATTTCTTGATGCGCGCCTCCACTGTATCGTGCTTTCCGTGCGGTCGTGTATCACAGTGCTGAAACGTGTGCATGACTGACTCGGCCTCGCGCAGGCCCTGGCATGGGCGCGAGACCATCCCAGACAAGCGCAGGAAACAAAATAAGTTACTGGATCAGCACGGTGCGCCTCCATCCTCGGTGGTTGGTTGATCAGGTTCTAGCAGCTCGCTGGGCTCTGCGGGGACGCCATGGGCATCCGAAAGACGGATTGAGGAAGAACAGTGAGACATAGTCAAAAAATACTCAAACATAGTCCTAAATTGTCGAACATCGTACCCAGACCATTTTTTGACTATTCCAGAATATTCCGCCTGTCGAGGGACAGGCCCGACTCAACAATAGGGCTGCATGATGCTGCGACGGCGCTTGGACTTATCCTTCTGAGCGTATGTACGTGTGGTGGGGGGCACACTCACGTCTGGACTCCTGGAGCCCTGCGCCGACATGGCCCAAGACTTCGCGATCGCCACCTTGCAGCTCATGGCGTCCTCTCACCCCTCCGTGCGAAGCAGCCTAGCACCCCTACGTACGCCAAACCGACGGACGCCGCCGTCTTCAAAGGCTGGTTCAGGACAGCCGTCTCCTTCTCTGGCCAGGCAGCTCGCGTTCATATATGCCGAAGTGGACGCCTGCGTCGCGCGCCAATGCCGACGCTGACCCCCAAAATCGCTTACCGGAGCAACCGCCGCTTACCGCGATGCAAGCGACGCTCTGAGAAGCCGCAGGCGTCGGGCTCGATGCTGCACGCAGAGCAATCGACGCCGAGGTCGATGCAGGAGGCGCTCGCTGCGTATCAGTGGATGCCGGCTTCCGGCTTCGATGCATGGCTGGTCCTCGATGAAACTGGCGATGCCTGTCCAAATGTAACCCGTGCCATCAATGGAACAAATTTCCTCCTCATCAAGTCCTCCGTGGAACCGTTAACCCAGATGTCAATGCCGTAATAGGATGCGTCCAATCTGGATGCCAAGACTGAAGTGACCCAAGCGCTCCGTCAAGCAGTCGATCCCGATCTCCGTCCTGTCCTGCACATGATCACGTCACAGCAGGTCGGATTGATCATAACGCATCGCATCGGACCACGTCAATGCACATCACGCCGCTACACCATTAAGCACTGCCCTATGCTCTGTGGCACTGTACTTATAGCGTCACAGATCCAGCGAGCTCAGAGGCTCCTCTTCGTGATGCTACTACTGCTACCGCTACAACTCATCCTTACCTGCGCCTCATCCCCATCCGCCTCCTCCCCTTCTTCTTCCTCGTCATTCTCCTCCTACGTCTCATCCTTCTCCTCCTCCCTCTCCTACTCCTCGTCCTGATGATATTCCCCCTGCTGCACCTCCTCCGTCTGCACTTCCTCCGCCTGCTCCTGCTGCTCCTCCACATCCTCCGTCTCCTAATTCTACGTCTTCTACTCACTACGACGCCTTCTTTCCCCGTCATCCTCATCAGCCCCTTCTCCGCCACCTTCTCCTGCGCCTCCTCCTTCTTTTTCTCCCTTTCCTGCTCCTCATCCTCTGGCCCCTCGTCCTGCTCTTCCTCATCTTCCTCCACCCTCCTCCTCCTGCCCTGGTCCTCCTGCTCCATCTCCTCTTCATGCTCCTCCTCCTCCTCTTCCTCCTCCTCCTCCTCCCCATCTCCCTCCCCTCCCCCTCTCGTTCGCCTCTCTTCCGCTGCCCCTTGCTCCTGCCCCTGCCCCTGCCCCCCCCCGGCTCGTTGAAGGCTGGCGCCCACGGGAAGCCGATTGGGACAGGACTATACCATCATACAGGAGCTCCCGCCGGGCTCTTGGTGGGCAGAACGGGTCCCGAGTCTCTCTGGGGTAACGGAGACGAAAGAATGGGGATGTACAGTCAACCCGTATAGTAAGGATGCGCGATAAGGATGCCATGGCCTTGCACGCCCATTTCGAGGCTTTTCGGGCGGGGCACGGCCAACTAAAGTGGCCAACGAGGAGGATTGAGGAGGGAAGGATGCAAGGCTGCCCTTGGGAAAATTGCCCATGGTTGCCCATCCTTACTATGCAGGTGGACTGTACCGTCTGCTCCCCCTTCGCCTCCCCCGCCAACCATGGCGGCATGGGGGTGGCGCCGCCGCTGTCCCCTCTGTAAATCCCCTCCCTACGTTTGGGTCGGGCATTTACTCCTACAGGCGGATTTTGGTAGACAAGTGAAGAATAGCCAAAACATCCTCGAGCATAGCCTAAAAATACTCAAAAATCGTTCCCAGACTGCTTTTTGACTATCCACTAGTATTAGGGACAGGCCCGACTTGACCCTGGGTGCCCTCGCGGCAATCGTCTTTAGAATCCTTCGGGCTGTCCCGCAACCGTCGAAGGCGTCAGACAACCGCCGGGAGCCTCCTGCTCCTTCTCGCCCCCCGCCCCAGACGCGCCACGCCGCGATTCTTGCCGTGACGCTGGCCCCCAGGAGCTCTCGGCCGAATCCCAGGGGCCGCGCTTGCTCCCCGCCGCGGAGAACTTTTGACGACCCTTGTGCCCGAGAAGCGGGCATCTGGGGGCCGAGAGCGTGGGACAACCACGGGCCGCCATGACTCCTCCGTGGCGGTGCAAGTCGATCCACTTTCGCAAACTCGCGCCGATTTCTCTGGTCGTCGCTGGTTCCCCCCCCCCCGTCTTGCGGAGCGCGTGCGGGGAAGGGGGGGGGCTACGCCCGAGGCACCGCCAGGTCCTGCGGGGAGACATGTGCAGCGGCAGCGCGAGAACTCTGCGCGGGCCTCCGAACGTTTGTGCCGATGCAGCTTTCAAATCTTCTACGCCTCCCTGCCTCTTCGGCTGAAGGCAAGCGTGACCCTAGGCAAGAGTGACCTTTGGTGTGCGTCCTGCCGATCGTTGCACGCGATGCGACAGTAGCAGCCTGCGTGCCTGGATGCGACAGTAGCAGCCTGCGTGCCTGGGTTTGGCACCCAGTGCCACCAAAAGGCCGCGCACCAAAGGCCACTCTGGCGAATGGCCACTCGGTTTGCGAACTATGCATCGGGTCTCCGGTGGCCGTTCAGGACGGTTCGGGCTCCTCCTGAACGCTCTCGGCGAGGCGCAGCTGCTGAAGCATCCCGAAGCAAGAAAAACTCCAGGATCCGACAAGCGTTGCTCCAGCGAAGAACCATTCTTACAGCCATCGTGCTACCCCGAGGGACGCCAAACAGGGAAGCAATGGGCTTTCCTGGCCCCGGCGAGCCTCGGCCTACAAATAGGCTCCCCGACCCAGATCTGAGGAGTGGCCCGAAAACCAGAGCCCCTCCCGAAGCCCAAAGCGGTCCTCACTTCAGCGCCCTGATTGTACATGAGACCGCGCACCAAAGGCCACTCTGGCGAAGGGTTATCCCTACGGTTGGGAGCTCTTGCTTAGCGTGTCGCCGCGGCCGCCCTAGCAACACGCTGTGCCCTGCGATAGCGCGTCTCTCCGCTCAGCGGGGCGGAGGCTGGGGAAAGCTCCGAGCGTTGACGATCGGGGGCCGCGATGTGGATAGCGTGCCGCGGAGAAGCCTGGTGGGCCAGAGCCGGCGAAAGGACACGCTGAGCCAAAATTCCCCGCAGTACGCGTACCCATCGGTCGGAATAAGTAGGTAGAAACATGAAGTAGGAATGCGTTGGGAGTGTATTGGGCGGCCGCCCGCCCCCTGAAGAGGATGGAAAAGGTGAAGCCACTCGATCATTGAAGTAGGAAGGCCCCTGAAGTAGATTGAAACCTGGAAATCCCAGACGCATACTTTCAACGACCGATGGGTAGCCGATCCTCGCCGATCACCTGGAGGCGGCGGGGGCAAGGTGCCCCTGGTGCCGAGCTCTGTCCGCAGCTCCTTCACGCGCATGGCCCGGCAGCGCTCCATGATCTGGGGGGCGCCGCGCCGAAGGATCGGGGACTCCCTGGCCTCGGCCATGACCTCCCTCCCTCGCTCTGTGCCTCTGTGCCTCTCTCTCTGTCTCTCTCTCCCTCTCCCTCGCTCCTCGTCCCCTCCTCCCTGCCTCCTCACTCCTGCTCCCTCACTCCTTCTCAACTGCTCTCCTCTCTTCCTCCTCCTCCTCCTCCTCCTCCTCCTCCTCCTCCTCCCCCTGCTCCCCCTCTATCCTCCTTGATTCTCCTTCTCCTCCTCCTCCTCCTCCTCCTCCTCCTGCCATTCACTCCCTCCTTACCCTCCTCTCCCAAGAGAAGGGCGAGGAAGCGTGGAGGAGGAAAATGAGGAGAAGGAGGACAGAGGAGAATTAGGAGGTGGGAGGGGAGGTGGAGATTCACGAATAACGGAGATAGGAAGGGTGAGAGAGACCCAAAACGGCCGCAGGAGGCCCTTCGACGGCCTAAAACGGCTCCAGGACGGCCTCACGACGGCCCCATGACACCCCCTATACCGCCAAGAGGGCCCCTTGAGCCAGGCCCCAAGACGGCCCAAATGAGCTCCATGACAGCTCCTCAAAAAGTGAAGACGAAAGGTGTCATACGTGACGGCCGTCCTCCTCCTCATCATCTCCATCATCCCCCAAATCCTCATAACGGCTATCTCCAGCCGTGCCCCTCGAACAGTCGCCACCCAGAATGCTGGGCTGGCACGATGGCGGGATCTGCAACAGGCAACTGGGTACATTCAATCGTGCGCTCACCTGCCACAAATGGCTGCTGCCTTCGTGAGACCAACCGCCAGCTCACCCCGCCCGACGCCTCGAGCTGTGCAGGTGCAGATCTGGCTGCGCTGCCACTCACACGTCTGCCGCCGCGCTCCACGGTTCATCCGACCTGCGTGCCCCGAGGCGCCGCTTTGCTGGGTCGCCTCTTGGAGGACACGCTGAGAGCTGCGCGGTTCGCGGTGGCCGCAGAGCCCATGGGATCGTGCGACGTGTGACACAGGGAGGAGCTGACAAGCCCACAACTGGCTCCTGAGACGGCAGGTCGAGCGAGCACTTCCGCGCTGCCCTGCCGACGCGCCCCTGAAGAGCTACACCACCCGCAGCACGGCGGCCGACAGGCCTGCCAGAATGATGTTGTAGCAGAAGTTGGCTCGTGCACGCCGCCAGCCACGCGGGCAAGATAGAGGCGAGGCCACGTCCTCGGAGAAGTCCCCGTATGCCGTCAGCGTGCCGCAGAAAGAGCCACGGAACTTGTCGCCCAGGCCGAGGAGGCGGCCGCCCAAGGACGGCGCGGCCACGACCCGGACGCAGAGGCCGAACGCGTTTCCTGAGACCGTCGCCCAATTCACCTCGGCGGAGTCCGCCGCGGATCCGAGCTCCTCCTCCAGCAGCATGGCGGCCAGGTCGCCCACGAGGACCGCGAGCCCAACCAAGCACAGCCCCACAGCCAAGGCCACCGCACTCTCGGCGCCGCCGCTGCCCAGGGCACCCGTCTCCGCGCACAGCGTCAGGGCGACGAACGCGACGAGCGAGAGCTGGACCTTGGAGCAAGTGTGGCGGATCTCCTGCTCGGTGGCGCGCCCTCCTTCCCTGTGGACGCGCTCCGCCAAGCCGACGCTCCGGCAAACCCGCAGGGACGCCAGGTACAGCGCCGGCCCGCCGACGGCGCCACAGAAGAACGTCGCCAGGAGCGGAACGGTGCCCCGGGCGGCGGCCAGCTGCTCCGCGAGGCCGCAGAAGCTGGTGAGGCAGGCGACGAAGCCGCCCTTGAAGGCCGCCGCCACGCGCACCGCGCTGGGCGTGGCGGGCGACGGCCGCCGCACGCGGCCCAGGCCGCGGAGGCCGCCCAGGCGCACGGCCGTCCGCAGCACGGCCCAGCGGGCTCTGGCGGGCGCCTTCCCCCCAGGCTTGCGCGGAGAGCCCTCGGGCCCGCCGCCGCCAGAGGCGTTGGCATCGCAAGATGCGCCCTGGCCTCCTGCGCCTCTCGCCCTCTCGCTGGCCGGCTCCTCCGCCTCCAGCAGCGCCGCGGAGGCGCCCGCGAGTACGGCCCCGGTGGCGTTCAGCAGCAGGCCCGCGGCGTCCACCCCGGCGAGGGCGGCTGGTCCAGGCGGCAGCAGCGCCGCCGCCCGCGGCGTCCAGGAGTGGTTCAGCGCGTCGGCCGCGAAGCCCCAGAGCAGCACGTGCAGCATGGCCTCGGGATCCTTGCGCAGCCTGGCGGCGTAGCGCTCGGCCACGCCGACGTCCAGCAGCCGCCACGGCAAGGCCACCGCGAGGCTCCACGGGCCCCAGCCCTCCGAGGCGCCCTGCTGCGGGCTGGGAAGGAGGCCCATCGGCGCGGGCTCGGAAAGAGCTGTGTACAAGCCCCCCCCCCCCTAACGTGGCCAATCCCTAACCTGAACTGACCCAGGCCCTGTCGACACTGCGCCCAAGCTAACCTGACCCATTCAAAGTAAAGTGACCAACGGCTCGGCGACACCAGAGAGTGTCACGCGCGCGCTGTAGCAAATGATGCACCACAATGGGGCGACACAACAACATGCAGTGCAAACATGCCAACTATCACTAGTCCGCCTTCGTCTCCCATGACGAATATGGGCGGCGCTGAAGCGACAGCAATTTTCGCAATCATGGATGCGGCTGGCACTGAGGCAAGAGCAGCTTTCTCACTCATGGATGTGGCCAGCGCTGGGGCGAGAGCAAGTTTCGCAATCGTGGATGTGGCTGGCGCTGAGGCGAGAGCAAACGTGGATGTGGCTGGTGCCGAGGCGATCGCAATCATGGATTTGGCCAGCGCTGAGGGGAGAGCAACTTTCGCAATCGTGGGTGTGGCCGGCGCTGAAGCGAAATCAATTTTCGCAATCGTGGATGTTGCCGGCGCCAGGGCGAGAGCGGCCGTCGTAGTAGTGGATGTGGCTGGCGCTGAGGCGAGACTGAAATTCGCAATAACGGATGTGGCCGGCACTGAGGCGAGAGCAACGTTCGCAATCATTGATGTGGCCGGCGCTGATGCGAAAGCAAAATTCGCAATCATGGATTTGACCTGAGCTGCGGCGGAAGCAACGGTTGCAATCATGGATGTGGCAGGGGTTAAGGCAACACGCACATTCGATATAGTGGATGTGGCCAGTGGTTAGGCGATATCATACGTCGTCATCGTGGGCGAGGTGTCCCACTGCACACGCGTACTGGCTCTAGCGCAACCAGTCGCACCACTGAGACGAGCAGTACCAGAAGTAGCAGCAGCACCGCGCGCAGCAGTAGCAACGCCTCATAAGCGACACCAGCAACACACCTTTGACCAGCGCGGCAGCAAACAACAACACCACCACCACCACCACCACGCGCACCAGCACCAGCGACACTAGCAGCACCAGTGTGATCACGACGGGGACCAGCAGCACCACACGACGTAGCACAAGCGCCACCAGCAGCAACACTGCGACAACAATGTCAGCAAGCAGCCAACACCAGCGCCACCAGTAGCAACACTGTGACGAGCGCAACGGGGAGCAACAGCGCCACACGAAGCAACACAAACGCAACCATTAGTACCAGTGTGACCAGCACGACGGGAAGCAGCAGCACTACACTCACCAGCACACGCGCAAGGAGCAGCACCATTGTGACGCGCACGACAGGATCTAGCAGCACGACACGCACCAACACTAGCACCACCAACAGCACCACTGTAATCAGCACGACGACACGCAGCAACACCACGCGCAACAGCACAAACGCCACCAGCAGTTCCACTATAACGAGCACGACGGGAACCGACAGCGTCAGGCGATTCGCGCTGGACTGCGCGAGCGCCCCCACCCCCCCGCAGGCACACTGGCGGTGGGGAGGCGTTCCCATGCTTCAGCGCAACAGCGCAAAGCGTCACTGCCCAAATCGTTCGACTTTGCGCTGGGCACCGGGGCGCCTCAGAGCAGAAATGCGCAGTCCGTCCGCGCGAAGTTTAAGGTAGAAGCCGGTGCGAGCCCCACCCCAGGAGCAACTGCTGCTCAACCCAAGCCCGAACGGCGGTCGCTCCCAGGGAACGGCCTGCGCCAGCCAGGGCCTACCACAGCAGCGCTGCCCAGGAGCGCCAGGGCGAACTCGAGGACGGGGTAGTGCCTCGTCTTGGGTCTGCCGTCAGCGCCCGCCGCCTGCCGCCGCCCAGCCCGGACAGCAGCTCCAGCGCCTAGCACCGGCGACCTGTCCGGCCAGCAGCAGCACCACGCGAAACAGTACCAGCGCCACCAGCAATTCCACTAGAACGAACACGACGGGAATCCCATACTCCAGCGCAAAGCGTCGCGACCCAGATCGTTCGATTTTCCGCTGGGCACCGAAGGGCGCCCCAAAGCAGAGCCCACAACCTGTCCCACAGGAGCCGGCCGCTCCCCCCTCGCATCGCAGCCCCTGCGCCCCGGCGGAGATGCGCACGACGACCCGCAACCCGTCGGTCGCGCGCAGCAGCAACATGAGTGAAACGAGCACTTCCACTGTGACCAGCCCGACAGGAACCAGCATCACCAGCAGCAGCGGCAGCACAAACGCCACCAGCAGCACAACTGTGAGTAGCAACACAAAGGCGGCAGCACCAGTGCCACGTGCAGTACCACTCCGCCAAGGCCTGTCGGAAGCAGCAACACCACGCGCAGCACCATCAACGCCGCCAGAAGCAGGAGCGCGAGCAACACAAGTGCCACCAGTAGTGCCTCTGTTGCAAGCGCGACAGCAAACAGCAGCGCCACGCGCAGCAGCACCAGCTCCACCAGCAGCACCGCTGTGGCGAGCACCACGCGAACCAGCAGCAGGACATGCAGAAGCACCAGAACAAGCAGCAGCACCACATTGACCAGCATAGTGGGATCAGTAGTACGACGCGCACGAGCTCGAGTGCAACCAGCAGAACCACCGCGACAAGCACTACAGCAGCATCGGCGCCACCGCTAGCAGCAGTGCGAGCAGCAGTGGCAAAAGCAACGCACAGCAGTACTAGCGACACGGGCAACTCCAGTATGACGACTGCGACGAGCAGCAGCAACACCACACGAAGCAGCATCACTGCCGCCAGCACCACCACTGTAACGAGCGCGACAGCGAGCAGCGGCGCCAAGCGCAGAGGCACGAACGCTAGCAGCGGCACCGCTGCGACGAGCACGAAGGGAAGCAGCAGCACTACGCGAGGCAACACCAGCACCACCAGCAGTTCCACCAGAACGAGCACGACGGGAACCAGCAGCACCCGGCGATTCGCGCTGAAATGCGCGAGCCCCCCCCACCCCCGTGACGAGCACGACGGGGAACAACAAGGCCACACGAAGCAACACAAACGCAACCATTAGTACCAGCGCGACGGGAAGCAACAGCTCTAACGCACCAGCACACGCCCAAGGAGCAGCACCGTTGTGACGCGCACGACAGGATCTAGCAGCACGACACGCACCAACACTAGCACCACTGTAATCAGCACGACGACACGCAGCAACACCACGCGCAGCAGCACACACGCCACCAGAAGTACCACCAGAACGAGCACGACGGGAACCAGCAACACCAGGCGCGCTGGCCTGCGCGAGCACCCCCCACCCCTCCGCCGGCGAGGCGGGCGGGGGGGGGGGAAGCGCTCCTGTGCTCCAGCGCAAAGCGTCACGGCCTGGATCGTTTGATTTTGCGCTGTACAATGGGGAACGCCCCAAAGCAAAGATGCGCAGTCCGTCCGCGCGAAGCTTGGCTGGGAGTTGCGGGCCCCACCACAGGAGCAACTGCTGCTGGGCACAAGGCCGAACGGTGGTCGCTCCTGGGAGGAAGGGTTGCGCCAGCACGGGCCGAGAGTAGCAGCGCTACCCAGGACGGCCACGGCGAGCGCGAAAACGGAGTAATGATTCGTCGTGGGCCCGCCGTCAGCGCCCAGCACTGGCGCCCTGCCCAGCCAGCAATGGCGCCTAACCTGGCCAGCAGCGGCCCCTGGGCAGCGCCCTCCTACCGCCGTCGTCCAGGGTGTCCAACGGCTGCCGCGCTGCCGGCGTCGCCATTGCCCGCTGCGGCGGCTGCGGGCCGCCACGCGTCGGGCGTGCACCAATTCCACTGTGACCAGCGCAACAGGAAACATCGACACCACTCGCAGCACCACCAGCGCCACCAGCAGCGCCTCTGACAATAGCACGACAAAAACTAGCACCGTTACGCAGCAGTATCGACGCCACCAGCAGCACCAGTGCGACCACCTCGACAAGAACCAGCAGTACCACCAGCAACAGCGCGAGCACCACCAGCAGCATTGCAATAACGCGATCAACAATAGCGCCGCTGGTAGCATCTCTGTGACCATAACGAACGACTGCAAGCAACATCACCACTCGCAGCAACACCAACGCCACAACATGTAGCATTGTGACGAGCACGACGGGAAGCAGCAACGCCACGCGCAGAACCATTAACGTCCCTAGCACCACCAGCGCGACCATCGCGACAGGAAGCAACAGCACCACGCGCCCGAGCGCAACAAGCAGCACCAGTGTGAGCAGCACGACGGTAACCAGCAGCACAAGCGTAACAAGCAGTACGACTGTGACCAGCACGACGGGAACTGCAGCACGAATGCCACAAGCAACACCAATGTGACCAGCAGGACGGGAACCAGCAGCACAACGCGCAGTACTACCAACGCCACCAGCAGCACCACTGTGACCAGCATGGAGGGAAACAGCATAACTACGTGCACCAGCACAAGCGCAACGAACAATACCGATGTGACGATCATCGCCAGAGGTAGCAGCCTTCCGCAAAGCAGCAGCACCAGCGCCTCCAGCAGCACTTGTGTGTGACCAGCAAGAAGGGAAGACGCAGGACAACGAGTAGCACTACCAGCGCCATTAGCAGCACCACTGCGACCAGCCCGACGGGTATCAACAACACTACGCGCACCAGCACATGTACAACGAGGAGCACCACTGTGAGGAACATCGCTGGAAGCAACACCACTTTAACCAGCACGACGGAAAGCAACAACACCATGTGTAGCACTACTAGCGGCACCATCAGCACCAATATGACCAGCACTGCGATCACCAAAAGCACAACGCGAAGAAACCCACGCGGCACCTTTGCCAAGAGAAAACTGGCCGCTGATGGGGCCGCGACCCAGAAGCTTGTGCAGCCCACAAGGTAATGAGCCTGCGTCTTCCCCTGCGGCAGGAATGGCATTAGCAATCACGATGTGGCGGGCGCCCCCGCAATGGTACAGTCCATAATCGAGGCGAGAAAGGCATTCGCAATCAAGCGTGCGGCCGGCGCCGAAGCGGCAGAGGTGACAGGAACATTCGAAGTCATCTGTTCGGCCAGCGCCAGGCGAGAGCAGCATTCCTAATCGAGAGCACAGCCCGCGCTGAGGCGAGAACAACACTGCAATCATGCGCGCGGCCTGCGCCTAAGACCTAGGCGAAAGCAGCATTCCGAGTCGAGAGTGCGGCCTGCGCTGAGGCGAGAACAATTGTCGCAATCATGCGTGCGGCCGGCGCCTAGGCGAAAGCAACATTTTCAATCATACATCCCCAGGACGAAAGTTTTCCTCCTGGGCCTGGAACGACGGTGTGAAGTCTTGAGCAGGCCCGTACGAGATAACCGCCGTCGGAACCCATGAAGTTCGCGCGGATCCTACTGTGGCTTTGGTGTTTGTTTCGATGGATCCGATTTCCGTCCGTACGGATCCGACTTCGGATTAGCTGGATCCGTGTCCGGTCTTATTTTTTACGGCGGATCCGATTTCTACCCTGTTTTACATTCATATTATTAAATTAAACCAGGGTGCCGGAAGAAATCGGATCCGCGGACCCCGCAAATCGCCCGTGTTAAGATTCTATGGGGGAGGGGTGTTCGGTAATCAACTTTCCACGATGGGCCCTGCGTCGTCTCGCGCACTCCCATCAGCTCCCCGCGCGAGCGGACCCCATTCAACATGAATACAGACATCCCTCCCCCCCCAGTTGCTGCAAACAGCTCGTCCGGTCGCCGTCCGTTCGGCGGCGCCGACGTTGTCTCGCGAACTCCTCATGGCCATTTTCACCTCAAGAGGAAAATCTTTCGTCCTGCGTAAGTATGTGGCCGGTGCCACAGCGAGAACGACATGCTCAATGCACGATGTCGCAAGCGCCTAGGCGACATCGACATTTTTCATCAGACATGTGACCAACGCCACAGCAAGAACGACATGCTCATTGAAATATGTGGCTGAAGCCTAGGCAATAGCAGCATTTTTCATCAGACATGTGACAGGCGCCACAGCGAGAACGACATGCTCAATGAAGGATGTCGCCAGCGCGATACAACAACATTTTCAATCAGACATGTGGCCTGCGCCGAGGCGAGAACGACATGCTCAATGAAGGATGTCGCCGCCGCCTGGGCGACAGCTACATTTTCAATTCGAGATCTGACCAGCGTCACGACTAGAACGACATTCTCAATGAAGGATGTCGCCCGCGTCTAGGCGTCAACAACATTTTCAATCAGACACTTGGCTGGAGCCAAGGCGAGAACGACATTCTCAATGAAGGACGTCGCCGGCGCCTAAGCGACAGCAGCACTTTCAATCAGAGGTGGCACAAGCACAAACGAGAACAATACGCTCAATGAAAGATGTCGCCAACGCCTAAACTACAACAACATTTTCAATCATATATGTGGCCCACGCACAAGCTGGAACATCATTCCGAGACAAGCGTGTCGCCAAAATGCAGGTGTCACGCCCATTCCGCGCGGGCCGGGCTCGGTGTCACCTAGGTCTGAGTTACGTCGGGTGGGTAGTCCACGTTAGGGGGGGTTGTACGGAGGGCCGCAGAAGCCCAAAACGGCTTGAACCAAACTGGCTACGGAAGTGACGTGGAGGGATGAGGACGAGGAGAAGAGCAGGAGGAGCTGGACGCGGAGAAGATGGAATCTGATGGTGATGCTGGTGGTGGTGGTGGTGATGATGATGGTGAACATGGGGATTCTGATTACATGATGTTGAGGGTGAGGAACAGGACTGGGAGAGGGGGAGCATGAGGAGCCATGATGAGCAGGACGTGGATGGGGTGAGGAGTAAGAGCAGGGAGCAAGCAAGCAAAGCTCGTGGAGTCCTGAACGTCATCGTAGGCCGTCCTACCCGAAAGGACTCTGAGTGGGCTGCGTTCAGTTCAGCCTGCTGTCGCACTGGCGCCCGCCGCGCGCTCCTCCAGTGGAGGCACGGGCCCGAGCGGCAACCCGAGGGGCACACATCCCCTATTGGGCGCCACCCGCAGGGCGTGAGCCCTGCGCGCCGCTGTCCTGATGCCAGGAAAACAGCGCCGGACACTTTCCGCGAAAACGGCCAAAAACACAAAAACGGCGTAAAGTGTCCGGCCGGCCCTGGCGGCGGTGCCCGAACGGCAGCCCGAGGGGCACACACCCCCTATTGGGCGCCACCCGCAGGGCGTGAGCCCTGTGCGCCGCTGTCCTGACAAGACGGGCGAGAGGGGCGAGAGGGAGGTCTCCGAGCGGGGGGAATAGAAGCGATGGGGATCGACGGCAGTGCGGGATGTGCGTACGTGGCCACTGTCGGCCGCGTAGCTCACTGCACCGTCTCCGCCGAGACAATCCCCCTGCGGACAAGATCCGCTAGGCGCTCACTGCTCCGCAAGTTGATGCGGTGGTTCAGCTCTTGAGGCCGTGCAACATGATGAGGAATGTGAAGAAGTGGGCGAGGAGCAGGTGGAGGAGGGGAACGAAGAGGACGAACGTGATGATGGTCATGACAAGCGAGGCGCGTGTGTCAGCACTCCAAGGAGGAGCCGCCAGGGAGCAGACGTTGATGTCTCAAGCAGGGCGCTGGCTTCAGCCCCCCCACGGGGGGATCCCCAAGGGGCAGAACACTCGCCCGCTCGCTGCCAGATAGTGACGGTGTCTGCAGCGAGGCGCTCGTTGTGGACTTCAGACTCCTGTCCATTCAGAGCCCCACGGCCACCCCGCTGTAGGGAGAAGGGCGGCCGCCAGGGAGGAGCAAGGGGGGCAATCAGGACGACGCCGGAGGAGGACGAGAGCGGAGGGGCTACGGCAAAGAAGGAGAGGAATGAGACGGGAGGAGGCCGACAGGAAGGGGGGCACTTGCCAGGGAGGATGAGGAAGGACGGAGGAGGCGGGAGGACGAGGATGAGGGAGGAAGATGCACGAGGAGGGAGACGGAGGGTTGCAAGGGAGGATGAGAGAGGAAGGAGGAGGAAGGGGGCGGACCCAGGAGGAGGGACAGCGAGGAAGGATGAAGGGCAGGGAGGGGGTACGACGAGGAGGAAGTGGAAGGAGAGGGGAGGGATCTGCCCACCGCCTGTTGTGACTTGATGTCGTCGTCGTCGCTATCTCAAATCGTAGCCGTAGCCGTCGCCGTCGTCGTCGTCGTCGTCGTCGTCGTCGTCTTCGTCGTCGTCGTCGTCGTCGTTGTGCCCGTCGTCTACTTGGCTTCGCTCTTACACCCAGACGCTCGCAGCCAAACACTCTTAGCGAGACGTGCCAGGAACATGGGATACACATATGGGGATCTCCGCGCTGAGTGATTACTCAGACGACGCCTCCGACTCACTCTTCACACCTCCCTCTTCCCCACTCCCCCCTTCCTCCCCCAGACTCACTCATACTCAGACTCACTCACACCCATACTCACTCACGCCCTCCTCGTCCTCACACAGATTCGCTCATACTCAGACTCGCTCGAACTCAGACTCACTCATACTCCGACTGACTTACACTCAGAGTCACTCGCACTCAAGCTCACTCATGCTCAGACTAACTCTCACTCAGACTCACTCGCACTCGGAGTCACCCACACTCAGACTCACTCAGAGCCAGCCTCGCTCGCATTAGGACTTGCGACGCACTCGCGCTCAGACTTTCAGATTGTGGGGACGTCTCGAGCGAGGCGCTGGTTTCAGCACCCCAAGGGGGAGCCGCCAGGGGTGGTTGCACGGCCCCGTTCGCGCCTAGATTTTTGGGGAATGTCTCACTTGGCTTGCCTGTTTGGTTGCCCAGACTCCCCCTGCTTTCAGAACAGACTGTGAGGTTGTCTCCACGAGGCGCTGGTTTCAGCATCTCAAACGAGGGGGGCCCTCCTCCTCCTCCTTCTCCTCCTCCTCCGAGGGGGGCGCCAGGGGTGGTTGCACGGCCCCCTTCGCGCTCCGAGTTTGTGGGCGTCTCGAGCGGTCTGTCCGTTTGGTTGACCATCTTCACCTGCTTTCAGATCGCATCGTGGGGACGTCTCGAGCGAGGCGCTGGTTTCAGCAAGCCTAGGAGGAGCCGCTGGGGGTGGTTGCACGGCCCCGGTCGCGCCCAGATTGCGGGAACGCCTCAAACGGTGTGCCTGTTTGGTTGTCAGGACACATCGGCTTTCAGAGCAGCTCGTCAGGCTGCCTCGGGCGAGGTGCCGGGCGGATGATGAGTAGGCGGAGGAGGAGGAATGAGGATGAGGATGAGGAGGAGGAGGAGGAGGAGGAGGAGGAGAAGGAGGAGGAGGAGGAGGTGGATGAGAATGAGGACAAAGATAAATCCAAGACGCATCTTTTCTCTATCATCCCCTCTTGTTAGTATGCTACAACAAACTATTTCCATTGCGGGAAATGGCCCAATGAAAGACAACCGTCTGAGAATCCAACAAGGTGAAAGACCCCCGAGAACCAACGAAAACGCCCGACAACCTCGAACCTCAACCCTTCCTCGACCGAACCGCGACCGTAGGCGGCTCCTGATCTCGGGACCTCACCAATGGGGTCCGAGTAGATGGGCCGGAAAATCGCGCCGCATCACCGATGCATCGCCGATCGTGCCAGACCACCATTCGTGGGACTTCAACGCAGCGAATCAACATTACGGTTGCGTCCTGACAGTCTGGAATCGTGCCAGAACGCACTTCCTGGAACTGTAACAATGAACCAACTTGACCATGGTGTCCTGGTGATCCGAAATTGTGCCAAAACGCCATTCCTTAGACTTCAACCATGCGATCCCTGAAACTTGCCGTGCACTTTCAAGGCGAATGCGCGCGGCGCTAAGGCGAGCGCCACGTTTTGCAAATAAGCCACTCTAAACCTTTGAATTCGCTGTAGACTTTGAAACGATTGTGCGCGGCTCTGAAGCGAGCGCCGCATTGTGAAAACCACCCACCCTCCATCTTTGAAATGGTTGTGAACTGTTAGAGGATCTGCGCGGCGCTAGCGCGAGACCCGCATCTTGAAAAACACCCGCTTTCCATCCTTGAAGCTGCTACAAACTTTTAACACGAACGTGCGCGGCGCTAACACAAGAGCCGCATTTTGAAAACTGCCCGCCCTCCATTCTTGAAGCGTCTGCAAGCTTTTAAAACGAATGTGCGTGGCGTTTTTCACGGCCCCAATTGCGCCCAGATTGTGGGGGATGTCTCAAGCGGTTTACCTGTTTGGTAGTTTGGTCTCCGGTGCTTCCAAAACAGATTGTGAGGATGTCTCGAGCGAGGCGCTGGTTTCAGTACCCCAAGGGGGAGCCACCAGGGGGTACTTCACAGGCCCGTTCGCGCCTTGAGTGTGGGGATGTCTCAGGCGGTTTGCCCCAGTTTGGTGGCTTGGTCTTCGGTGCTTTCAAAACAGATCGTGAGGATGTCTCGAGCGAGGCGCTGGCTTCAGCACCCCAGGCGGCCAGATCGTGGGGATGTATCCAGCGAGGCTTCGACTCATGTCCATTCAGAGCCCCGTGATCATTTCGATGTATGGAGAAGGACGGCCGCCAAGACGGAGGAGGGAGGACGGAGGAGGAGGGGGGAGAATGCAGGAAGAGGGAGAAGGGAGGAAGGAGGACGAGAAGGGAGGGGGCACGACGAGGAGAAAGAATGAGAGAGGGGGTGGCCTGGTCACCGCCTGTCCGTCTGTGAGTTGTCGTCGTCGCTGTCCCTCGTCGTAGCCGCCGCCAACGACGTCGTCGTCGTCGTCGTGGTCGTACTCGTCGTCCACTCGGACTCGCTTTCACGCTTCGACGCTCACGGCCAGATACTCACAGTGGGACGTGCCAGGAAATGAGATGCACATATGGGGATCCCCGCGTCGAATATCTTTTGTCCGTGACGCCGCCTCACGGATAAAGAAAGCAAGTATATGATAACTAGGCGCGGGCTTCCAAGTCCCAGTGTCACTGACGCCCAGACTTGGAGGCCTGCTTCTTGTTACCGCACTCATTACGCAAATAGTCATGGGACGTCGTCAGTACGTGTAGCTGCCACAGGCAGGCAAAAGGCAGGGCGTAGCTGCCACAACTAGGGTATAATTGCCTCAAGCAGGGCGCGCGTGCGACGCGCGCGATGAACAGAAACGGGCCTCCGAGGAGGCCTGGGTGCCCCAAGAGATCCAACTGAACATCAAAGAGGATCCAAAGCCGTCCACGGCGGTCCGAACCGACCGACACCGAATTTACCGCAAGCAGCCGAGAGCGACGCTATGACGCGGCAACGACGCAACAACCGACCGAACTGACTCATCCGTGGACACCCTTGGGCTCCTGGTCCACCCGCCGGCTGCGGAGAGAGCGGAGCGCGCGTCCTCCTCGGTGGGCGTCTCGCTCGCTCCGCCCGCCGCCTGGCGCATCGCGCGCGCGCGGCAGAACGCCCCTTCGCCACTCCTCCTCCCAGTTACCCCAACTTAGGCGAACAGTGGCCGCAGCTGAGTAGTCCAAAATCCACCAGCGTCATGCAATAACAGCGGCCGCAAGAGCACGCAGATGCGGTGCAAACTGTGATCGAGAGTGGAAAGCCCCCTTCCTCCTCTTCCTCCTCCTCCTCCTCCTCATCCACTGCATCCCCTCGCGCGGCGGACGCGGTTGGGCGGGAGCGGCATTGACCGCGCTCATGTCACGTGCCGGTCCTCCTCCCCATTCTCTCCCTTCCCCGCCCACCCTCCCCTCCTCCTTCCTCTCCCCTGGGACCTTTTCAGAGCAGGTGTTGGCTGTCATAGCTTCCCGCATACCCCAGGCGCCCTGGCCTGTCCCTGGTTCCCTGCCCAGGCAACTTTCCTGTGGATGCTGTCATGCTCGGCTCAAGGCTTCACAATTTTTATCACCATCGGTTCAGTGTCCTGGAATGATGCCCTTCCGACAGGGCACAACGTCCGAGCTCCTACCACTGTCCCACCACCCCTCCCCCTCTCCTCTGCAACCCACACCCCCTTCCTGCCCCGCGTCTTGCGGGCAGAATGGTCAAGCCGACGCAGTTGCCCGCCAAGCCTCCACCCGCGGTCGCGAACCGCCAGAGGGCCGTCCCGCCCCGAGTGGCCCGAAGCGCACGGCTGCAGGGCGGAAATCTTCTGTCCCCTCGTGTTGGTGGTGGTGGTGGTCGTCGTCGTCGTCGGCGTCGTCGGCGTAGGCGTCGGCGTCGCCGTCATCGGTATAGTCGTCGTCGTCGTCGTCGTCGTCGTCGTCGTCGTCGTCGTCGTCGTGGTCGTCGTGGTCGTCGTGGTCGTAGGGCCGATTCCGCGGTGCCCGAACCTCGCTGGCGGGCTGCTGCTCGGGCGCGGGCTCCGCGGCGGCCGCGGCAGCCGCCGCCGCTGGCGCGCTGGGGCCGGGCCGAGCCTGGCGGTGCGGCGTCGGCGGTCGATGGGGGCGGCCGGCGGCCGTGGCCCTGCCTCGACCTCGTGCTCCTCCTCCTCCTCCTCCCCCTCCTCCTCCTCCCTCCTCCTCCTCCTCCTCCTCCTCCTCCTCCTCCTCCTCCTCCTCCTCCTCTTTCCTCTTCCTCCTCCTCCTCCTCGACCTCTTCCTCCTCCTTCTCCTCCTCCGCCTCGTCGTCGTCCCCCTCCTCCTCCTGTTTCTCCTCCTGCTCCTTCTCCCACTGTTGCGCACCCAGGAAGGGGATGTAAGGTGTGAGGCAGATGCGCAGCATTTGGCCAGCGGTCACTGGACAGCGACGTGACAGCCCTGGATGGGGGAGAGAGGAAGAGGCCAAGCGTTCCTTCATCCTCGGCTTGGCAACTCTAAATGAGGGCAGCTGGTTGGTTATGTTGGAGCCGTGGGCACCCGAATCGTGTTGGCGCTGCGGTGGTTGGCCGATGTGGCCGGCCGATATTCCCTTTTTTATATTTTTTTTTGCAATCCGGGCGGAACGCGAAAAGGGTCCCCCCCCCCCAAAACCGGACTCCCGAGATCTGGGGCTTTGGGACCCTCTGGACGGGCCTCGAAGCGGCCCCCCGGGCCTCGCAGGGCCCTTTGCCAAGCCTTCCCAGCACACCTAAGGCGGTCAGGGGGGTCATCGGAGACGTCACAGAGACCCCCAAGACAGCACAAGAACGCTCCAAGAGTGACCGACGTGACCTCCAGATGGCCCAAGAGGCCTCCAGGACGGTCCCAAAGAGGCCTCCAAGAGCACTCCCAAGAGGGCCACAAGAGGCAACAATCATTTTTTTTTGTTGGTTTTTGGTGAATTAGGGGGTTCTCCTCTTGTCGGCTTCCCGACGCTCCAAGACGGCGGTCTTTTGGGCGTCCGAAGCCGCCTGGGAAATTCTAAAATCGCCCCACAACAATCCGAAAGGGCTTCCGGGCAATCCAAGAGAGCCCCAAAACGGCACAACACGGGTCCAAGATGGCCCTCAGAGAGCCCCATGGCGGCCCAAGATGGCCCCCAAACATCCTCCGAAGCATTCCAAATCGTGACCCGGTCGTTCAGGGAGACCGCGGTTGGAGGCAGGGTGGCCCGAGGAACCCCCCAGAGGCCCCCAGAATACGCCCAGGAGGCCTCCAGAAGGCCTTAAGAAAGCCTGAAACAACTTTTGTGAGGCCCCCAGAGGCTCTCCAAGGAGGAGCCTCTGCAAAAAAGAGCTGCGGAGGATGGGGAGAATGCGCAAGGTATGGCGAACATGAAGAAAGAGAAACATGGAGGACAAATAACGAATAACATTATCATAGCGGCGATGCCGGAAAAGGCAACAAGGAGTTATCGCTAAGTTGTCGGCTTGACCTTTCTGCTATTCCGCCTGCACACCAAACTTCAAAGACCAAGGTGCATGGCGCGAAGCGCCAATGCAGTCTTGTACATACAGATAGCTAGATGCACACACAAATACATAGATACACCCATTGAGCAACGACGCCGTGGCTCTGAGGTATCCCACGAGTTGGCGACAACGTGAACATGGCGCGGCTGCGACTGGGCCGTGAAACACGCGTTCACCGAGTATATGGGATGGAGCTACAATGTCACCATCAAGTGACAGCGCAACATCATTTTTGGAGGGAGAAGATGGGAGCGGACAGCATGCCACCACAGCTGGCGCCAAAAAAGTGGATGCTGCCACGCGCCGAAAGCTGGGGTATAAGTCATCGGCATGAGGCTGGCGATGGGGCGGCAGGAGCGAGAAAACGGCTGCGTTTGAAAATCGTTCTCTCCCTTACCAAGCGTGTGGGGCAGATCCGGCCAGCGCTTAGGATGTTGCGCTGAGACGGCGAACGTCGAGAACGAGCCGACTGATGGCTGCAAGAAGCCCGAAAGAGAAACCCGGCGGCGCAGGATACGAACTAGCCCCAAAACGTATCATCCCCTGGCCTGCCAAACTGATGTGCGACAATCCCGCATTGATCGGTTTGACGGCCAAGCAATACATTCACCACGGCAGGAGCAAGAGGAGGAGGGAGGAAGAAACAAGAGGGACGAAACAAACACTATAGACCGAGAGTGCGCAGACCAGCCGGGGCATAGCCTAGGGTACGCGCACAAATTTCCCACGTGAGCGGAAGTCCCTTAATGGACAACGAAGCAATTATGATGTGGCTGCAAGAAACTCGTATGGTCGCGACTACTTCCCGGCAACGTATAGTCGCCCCCTTTACAAGTACACAAAATGACCGCGTGGCCGCGCTTCCCCACCTATGACTCCCCACACTGGTCGGCTAAATTCCGATATGCCCGTCGACACAACATTACGCGCACCGTGCCCGAAGCCTACCGTCGGAACCATCGCGGCGTCCGACATCGCCCGCCGCCGCGCTGTGCCGCGGGGTCGAATCGCTGAAGTCGTGGATGGGGTCTTTCAACTTTTTAAGCTACATCGGCCCCAATTGCGCCCTGACCTTTCTGTGAACATGCTTTGCGCAAGCGTCCGTCTGAGGCCAGCTTTGCTCGACCGTCACTGGGTTGCAGCCTGGGCGGCGACGTCGTGGCTCTTTCTGGTTGCTGCCGCAACGGATTTGCGTCCGTTCCTCAACGTTGGTTCAAACGGTCCAAAACAATGTGCTCTTGATCTGCCCTGAAGCAGGGCATCCAGCCAAGGGTCCACATACCAGACATATTCAGATAACTATGCAGGAACGACGAAATCAAATTACGAAAATCAAACCCGCCGACCCTTTGGCGTGTATGAGACGCTGTCTTCGTCTTCGTCGTCGTCGCCGTCGTCGCCAGTCCCAAGGAAATTTAGAAACGAACAGAGGCAAGAAACGTCGTAGTTAAGTCGATCCCCTCCCCTTTTCCCCTCCTTGAACGGGGGGGTCCCTGGTCAGATTGCCGCCCCCCCCCATGGTCCTGGCAGCCCTCTGGGTTCTGGGTTCAGCCTAAGGCCGCGCGCGGCCAGCCGGGAAAACACAGTTAAAAGTTGGTCGGCGCAAGGCCATGCATCTCGTTACGTAATGATTGTGTGAGAGAAGCATTCAATACAAAATTGCAATGCCAGCGCCTCAGCGTCAAAAGACGACGATGCAGCAACCTCGTCCAAATGCACGCCGGACGTTGTGATTATCTGAGTCGTGTCGTCTGGCCACAGCGCCTCCGCGATCCACGCCGCTGCCGTGGACCCTGGCCCTCTGCGACCGCCATCACAATGCGCTACTAAGACTGCCTCGTTCAATTTGCGGCCGGGTGGCAGCTGGTACTCTTCGTGCCACGAGCTCCCGGCGTCCAGTGTGACGTTGGCGATGTGGTCTGCCTTCGCGTTGTGGTTGCGGTTTTTCCATACTACGGGGTCCTGTTGATCCTGATGAGGTAACCACCCCGCATCAAACAGGCGTGCAATATAGTCACAAATCGTACGGAATATCGCTGCGTTGCCAGAGCCCTCAGGGGAATTTCTGCCCACCACCACGTCCACTAATGGCTGGCAGTCGCAGGCGATGACGAACCTCTTGTCCCTGGTGTCCCAATGGAAGATGTCCTCGTCGATGCTGTTCAGCTCATGATGGATGGGTAAATCCTCTCGCACGTACTTCTGCAACCGGGCTCGTTTACAGGGGGCTTCGCAAGCCTCTTCCGGAAGAGACTCCAGCGGTGGGGCAAGTACTGGCAGGTCCAATTTTTGGCAAACGAAATTGCAAAAGCCATCAAAAAGGCGCATCCACTCCTTTGAGGACGAGCGTTCGTTTCGTTTGGTACGCCACCAGACACCGCAGTACTCGCATAACACGTCCTCCCAGTGGGAGAAGTTGCACCCAGAAGAATGCAGAATGTTCAGGCGCCGTCTCTTGCGGTACCCCCGAAAATGTTTGTAATACTCCCACCAATCACGAGACCGGGACTCCCTGCTCTTGGCCAAGAAATTGTGCTCACTATGTCTAGGTAGCGTCTTTTCCCTCCAGGCATGTTGGAATACCGAGCGGAGCACCCGGATGTAGAGAGGCTTCAAGTTGTGCGTGTGCATCCATCTCTTGATCAGACCTGCCGTGCGGACGTTGGCAGCCATTGCTCCCTCGCCGGGCTTTCGACGCAGGCGGAGAGCTTTGCGGAGAAATTGCCATTCCCACGTTTTCAACCTCTGCAGAAGCTGCTGGCTCGCATGCCACGCACAGGATCCCAACAACAGGCTCGCCGATGGCCCCGTGCACCAGGCCTTCAACTTGCTCTTGATGGTGCCACCGCTGCGGAAAGCACCCATGTGGGCCCAGTAATGCGCCTCTGCCTTGGCCAATCGGTGCTCCACTGCAGCAGCCGTCTCCGATTTTGCATTGATATGCACTTCCAGAAGAATAATGTGATCCACGACGGCAAAAATGGTAGGCTCCTGCTTGCCCGTCTGCCAGACTGCGGGTGCCCGAATGCCATCCTTTGCCAAGGCCCCACAAGCCATAACTTCGAGAGAGGACTCTTTCCAAGTAAACTCGATACTTGCCAGCGCACCTGTGAGCTCTTGGGCCGTAGTCTCGAACTGGTCGATGCTGTGAGCCAAAATAATGAAGTTGTCCGCCCAGATCAAGTGGTTCAGGAAACAGCCCTCGTCGTCCAGAGAGAACCCGAACTGCCGAATCCGCCAACTTTCGATTACTGGTTCAAGGACGCTTTCAACCATGCCGTTGAACAAGTCGGGGGTATCCACTCCACCCTGCTTGCCGCCGACTTCGAGCGAGAACGGGTCGCACGCCGTAGTTCCCGGGAGCGACATTGTGCAGGACATGTGGGACATTTCTCGCGCAACTGCCCGTACCAAGTTGGGGTGCACGCCTCTCTTCACAAGTATTTGCGTCAAGTGCTCATGGCAAATGGCGTCAAATGCGGTCTTGATGTCCAGCGTACCCACTACCAAGGGCAAATCCCACTGCCGGGCAAGAGTCACCACCTGGGTACCGATGGAGATGATGTCATCGCAAGGAAACCCAGC